CAGTCATTCCTAGTAATTCTCCAAATCAAGACTAGATGCACCTCTATGACACATGAATGAACTTTCACTTTACAAGTTTAAGTCAAGATATAATTACCTGAAAACAACAATCCTGAGGAAAACCACTGCATCCAATCCTGGGGAAAACCACTGCATCCAATCCCCCAGAAGCTCTCTACGTTGAGGAGTGGTTTCTAGGTCCAAGAAGGTGGAGCTTCTCAGACTTCTCTGGAGGCAAAACAAAGTCATTTAACGGGCAGCTCATAGGTCTTATTTATGCAAACACAATACTTGAGAGTTCCTCTGATACTCCTCAACAGTATTTGTATCATTTTGAAAATGGTGTCTGGATGATGTTGCAGCACCAAGTAGTGTTAGATTGAGCTTGTGTTAGTCTTAGGTGATCTTGTCACAAAAATAAATGCCTATTATGCTATCTGGCCTTACAGGTGATGTCCAAAAATAAAAAAATTTCTTGGAAAATATTATCAACTTCTTCTTGGAAAATGTTTTTAAAAGCCCAATCACTTCAATATCAGAATCTCCTTGTTAAGAATAATATTGTAATACTGAACATCTATACTGTTAGATTTTCAATCAATCATTTCTTCATAGAAACAAAAAATGCTAATTCCGTAGAGGTGATAAATGAGGAGTTTGAGGAAATAAAAATTTTACATATTAGAAGGTTCGAAAAATAGAGGTGATAAATGAGGAGTTTGAGGAAATAAAAATTTTACATATTAGAAGGTTAGAAAAAATGTAACTAAGATTGAGGAGTTTGAGGAAATAAAAATTTTACATATTAGAAGGTTCGAAAAATAAGGGTGATAAATGAGGAGTTTGAGGAAATAAAAATTTTACATATTAGAAGGTTCGAAAAATAAGGGTGATAAATGAGGAGTTTGAGGAAATAAAAATTTTACATATTAGAAGGTTCGAAAAATAAGGGTGATAAATGAGGAGTTTGAGGAAATAAAAATTTTACATATTAGAAGGTTCGAAAAATAAGGGTGATAAATGAGGAGTTTGAGGAAATAAAAATTTTACATATTAGAAGGTTCGAAAAATAAGTTCCTCTGCGATCGAAACCAACCCCTCTTCTCTCTTCACAATCTCCCAGAGCTTCAGATCGATATCGCAGAGAACAAAGGATGAATCGAGAGAGAGAGAGAGAGAGAGTGGAGCTTCATCAATATCGCTCTGATGAATCTGTATGAATCTCAAAGATTAATCTCAAACAAAATCGCTCTGAATCGAAATCACTCTCAAGGGTTTAGAAGCAATTGGGGGTGAGCAAGAGAGAGACGTGAGGATTGTGAAGGCATGAGATTCAAAATGAGGGTTTACAAAGCTTTAACACGTACTCTAAGATTCAAAATAGGCGCGTGAGGTACAACACATTTGGAGGCGGTTTTAAACGCCTCTTATTTAAAAACGGTGTCGTTTTATTAAAACAATATGCGACGTTTTTATAAAACGTCATTAAATAATAATAAAAGCGACGCTTAAAAAAATGCATCTAAACTCATTTTTCTTGTAGTAAAAAAAGCTGATTTTTTTGGCTAAAAAAGCTAAAATGCCGGCTTTTTACCAATCTTCCCAAAGTGCCCCTAAGGCTTTGTTTGTCATGTATTAAAAAAGCTAAAAAGTCAAAAAGTCACTATCCTATTTAAGTCACATCATCTTATTTAAGTCACATCACCTCTCTACCACATCACTTCAAACCCAACCCAAACCCAACCTATATTTCATAAAAGGTCAAAAAGTGCATTTATTTATAACATCTCAAACCACCCCTAAGAGTGACCTGTTTTGGGAGTAGATTAAAAGTTGATTTTTTGAATTTTTTTTAAATAAAATATATAAAAAAATAAAGTAATATGATTTAAAAATGTCAAAAATTTTAAAAACTAACTTTTAACTTAATTGTCAAAGTATGCCTAACATCGATTATCTTTCAATTATTTGTATTTTAATTTCTCCCTAGCAAGTTCTTAGATTTGAATATACTGAACGGTATTGTTGGATTTGTGAGGCCTATCATGGGTCATGTTTTGATAATCTGAACTGTTGAATGTGTAAAGTTCATTGAGTACTTTATTTCTGTAAAAAATCACGTTAATCGGATATCAATAGTTATTTGATCGGATCAGATGCTTATCAAAAAATTATTTTGAAAATTATATTTACCATTCACAGAAATCTGAACCGATTAAGTAGCTATGGATATCCGATCAACGTAATGTTCTACAGGAATAAAGTAGTCGACGAACTCCACACATTGAACGGTTTGGATCATTAAAAAAAGACATGTGGTGGACCCCCGATGGCCCCAAAAGCACACTCCGAGATCGAACTGGAGAGAAGCTTGGCCCATTTCAATAAGTTCTATTATTTGAACATTTGATCCACCAATTATATTTATAAATCTTTCTTTATCTATTTATGTGTCACTTAATCTTAATTATTTTTTTATGTTCTAATAAGTCCTATAGGTCACATAATTACCAAAATACTTCTAATATTAATAGGGTGAAAGGCATGTGAATGTTCACTTTTATAGTGTAAATATTTAATGATGTGAACATTCATATTAAATAAATTTGACAACGTAAATAAAAATAAAAAATCAATTTGACAGTGTGAATGTTCACACTATCAATGTAAACATTTATACTGTCAAATTTATTTAATACAAATGTTCATATTATGAAATATTCACATAGTCAAGGTGAACATTCAAACAGTCAAATTTATTTTTCATTTTATAAAATTAAATATTTAAGTGAGATCTTATTTGATATATCTCGTTAATTAGGTTTTAAAAGTATAAATTTTATTTTAAAAAAATATGTACGACAAAAATTATGAATTTTTAAAGTTTAATATCCAAATGGACAAATTTCACTTTATCCCATGTGGTTTGGGCCAGGTGCGGTTTACCCCCCTAACATTCAAAAATCACTAAATAACCCCCTGTGATTGATGGACTAAAACACACACGAACTTCTGTTAACAGAAGTTGTAAATTAACAATTATACCCTCATATTTATCTTGTTCTTCTCTCTCTCTCCATTTTAGGGGAAACCAATTCTCTCTCTCTCCATTTCAAACTTTATGTGTACATACATATACATATATATACATATGCAATCTCATCTTCATCTTTGTCTCTCTCTCTTCATTTCAAATTTTGTTCCTCGTTCTATTCCGATTTATACTTGAGTTTCTTCTTCAACACCTTTACTTCGCTCTGGCAGCTTCAAGCTCCGCAACAACTTTTGCATAATCAGTAACTTGTGACTTTAATCTTCTATTATCTGCCCACAAGGATTCAATCTTGAGACTAAAAAGCTTCGCCTTCACATTGTTTATCTTCAATCAATTTTGAAGCTCCATGACAATCGTTTCTTGCTCCTTAAGACCATAGTACTCGAGCAATTGGATCTCAAGGATTCTCTCCCGCTCTCGGACAATTCTGACCATGTTCTTTAGGTTCTTAATCTCTTGCTCATAATCCTCACCTTTGTCAAGTTTAAACGATATGGGCGTTTATGCATCAAAGTGGGGTGTCTACACCTCTTTTTTGGGAGAAAAATTAGCTTTGGTTGCAGCCAAATCAAATTCCTTCACGAGCTCATTAAACTCTGGCAAGGGGAGCCCGTCTTTATCTCCACTACAGAACTATCTAGGGGAAATTTATGAAGACATGAATCTTCGTGCAGCCCAAAGCTACAGAACTATCTAGGGGAACTTTATGAAGACATGAATCTTCGTGCAGCCCAAAGCTACAGAACTATCTAGGGGAACTTTATGAAGACATGAATCTTCCTGCAACCCCAAAAAAATAAAAAAAAAAAAGGTCATAATCAACTAATTTAGCTTCATTGTGGAAAAACAATATGATTGGGACCGTATCAAAATATAACTCATCAGTTTGGTTCCCACTAAATTTATTATATGTGACAATTTACTTACGCCAAAATATTTATAAGGATTTTAAGCAATAGCACCATTGAAAAAAAAGAAGAAAAGAAAGAAAGAACATAAGGAATATCCTACAGAAATATTGAACCAGTTTCAGTTTATACATATACAATCTCATCTTCACTGTACATATATATATATATATATATGTGTGTGTGTGTGTGTGTGTGTAAAATATAATTTTGGAGATGAATCAATTTGATGTGGGAGGAGGTTCAAGGAGGGCGTGTGAGGGAAGGGACTGCGGTGGTGGTGCGATGGATATGGGTGGTGGTTTGAGTGGAGGAGAGAAAGAGAGAGAGAAAAGAGGTGAAGAAAAAGAAGGTTGAAAATAGAATGACATTTTTCACTACAAGAAATTGCATTTTTCGCAACGCAACAAAGTATGTTGCTAAAAGGGAAAATTCATCGGCAAAGAGTTTTGCTGACACACAAAGCTACGTTGGCAACCCGTAGGCAAAAGTAAGTCGGAAAAAGTTTACTGACGAAATTATCATTGTGTTGGTAAAAGTAATGCCTTAGCAACGAACATAGTCGTCGATAAAAGCCTTCATCCATCGTCAGCAATTTACCTTACGTTGGTATAAGTCATTCAAATATGACGATTGTGTGGCACTTTTTGCGACACAAATTTGCATGGACAAAAAATATATTTTTAACAACAAAATATGCGTTGGCAAAAATAAACTTTTGGCGACACATTACGTCGGTAAATGTTGTCATTTGCCTACGATTTGTTTGTCGATAAAACTTCACTTTTGGCAACGACAAATTAGCATTGGCAAAAATAACTTTTAGCAACACAATATAAGTAGACAAAAGTAAACTTTTGGCAACACATTTACATCGGTAAATATTGCCATTTGTCGACGATTTGTTTGTCAATAAAGGTTTACTTTTGGCAACGGCAAATTGACATTGGCAAAAAATACACTTCTAGCAACACAATATGAGTGGGCAAAAATAAACTTTTGACGACACATTTACTAACAAAAATAATTGAAAATAATTTATATATTTTTATAAGATTTACAGATTTACAAGAACCATCTCTCAGGCATCACTATTACAAACTAATAACATTGATATGAAATCACCTAAAGTTGATGTGCAAGCAAAAAAAACACTACTAATACTGCTTTTAGAAGCAATGTATAAAACCTAAAAGGGTAAAGTCACTAAAATACCCAAATACATCCAAATTGTGAACCCACATCAGAAACAACAGATAACAAAATGAAAACATGAAACTAACAAAGACAGGCAAAACGGCATGAAAATCACCCACAAACTTATCCAGCAGACCAACATCTAGTAGCAGCCCCCTCACAGCAACATTGCAGCAGCAGCAGCCGCCCAGCAAGCATCAGCCACGAGGGCGGCAGCAACAGCAGGCCAACAGCTGCAACAGACCAACAAGCAACAGCCATCAGCCACCAACAAAAAGGAGGATCTGGTAGCAATCTGTATTGATCAATGACAAGTTTAAAACAAAGTCCATTAGCTTTTTTATTGATCTGGTAGCAGCCTCTGTCTGTGTGTGTGTGTGTGTGTGAGAGTTAATAGATATGCAAGAGCAAGTACGGGCCAAAACATAAAAGCTTTTACCATCATCCGGTAAAAAATAAAATAAAATAAAAACCTTTGATTTCCAACTATACTAAAACAATCAGTAGCAGTAGATCCAATGCATTCTACACTCCAGTGAAAAAAAATGTTGTCTAAGTTACAAATCATTCACTTGCAACAATGGCAATAATTTACACAAGACAAACTAATTTCAGATTCTCTACTAATATTCAGATAAGGTCCATTTTAATGATTTCTGATATGGAAGGCATATGCATTATCTCTGCGATATGTACAGAGGTTTCAGATTCTCTGTAGTCAGACAACAATATGATGATATTACAATACAAAACTCCTAATCATTATCAAGTTCACATCATTCAATAATTTGGCAACAAGAAGAAAACCAATAAAATGATTGCATCCACTGAGAAACATAAACTTAAAAACTATAGGTAAGAGGCAACCATACTGGTGATCAGCAAATAAAAAGTGGCACCCACAAAAAGTGCATTTCAGATATCTGCGACCATTCTTCATCATCTAAAGTGGGGTCTTCTGCTCCTCCATATTGATAAATTAATTCATGTGACCGTCAAAATGAGCAAGACTTGTCGACTTGTAGTCATACTTGCAAAACGAATGGTACCACAAAAAAAAATAATAATAATAAAAAATAAAAAAGAAAAAAAAGAAAAAAGAAAAAAAAGATCTAATTGTAGTTATCATACTATTATACAAATGTGTAATTAACTAATAAAAACTGCATACTTCACAAGAAGTCCAATGAAGAAAGGGATGCATGCATAAAACAAACTATATCATTAAAGCATGACAAAGACAACTACCAACACTTGCACATTCCATTATCAAAAGAAAATCAAATAGCTGAACAACTACTAAACCAAGAATCTCTGATACAAGAAAAAAAAGATCTAATTGTAGTTATCATACTATTATACAAATGTGTAATTAACTAATAAAAACTGCATACTTCACAAGAAGTCCAATGAAGAAAGGGATGCATGCATAAAACAAACTATATCATTAAAGCATGAGAAAGACAACTACCAACACTTGCACATTCCATTATCAAAAGAAAATCAAATAGCTGAAGAACTACTAAACCAAGAATCTGTGATACCACTTGATTCATCTTAAATGATACACTATCTGATATTAGATTATTCATAATTGTCAATTTATATGAAACAGGCATTACCTCTTTTGATGCACAGAAGCCCTCTAGTTTATCACTTGTAGACAATTTTGTCAGCTTTATCGTTTCCCTGCCATAATATTTTTTAATCACAAACATATTAGCTTAAAAGTGAGTTACAGGTGCAGGATAACTTTGGTGCAGGCTACAGAATAAAATGCGCCAGATAGACCATGATTTCCAAGAAAAATCAACTGCTGAGTTACATATAGATAGAAAGCAATGTGATTGTGGGGCACCTAAGTAGCATGGGCACTTCTAGGGAGGAGCCGTGTTTGTGTCACACACTCCTAGAAACGTTTCTTAAGTTTATAGTGAAATTTCATAATTACAAACGACTTTTCATGAACACTTCACGACACTTTTCGAACGCTTCCGGATACAACCAAATGGTTAATCTCTTAATAGTACCCATGTTAGGCATTCTTCGGGCTACACCTTATGCACCCCAAATGTATCTTCAACTATCTCAGAAAAGAATAAATCATGTGCATGATCCACAAAGTATGCAATTGACAGCTTCTAACACACAAAAATAAATATATATAAATAAAGCTTACAATTAATAAGTAAATGTAATAAGAAAGCAAACCACGGGAGTATGCATTATATATGTCATATTTGTGGAGTTGTATCTTCCAATTTTAAAATTTTAAGTAGAAATATATAAATAATAAATCAAATTACATGATTTTCTTATAAATAATAAATCAAACTACATGTTTTGTATCCTTGCCATGTAGTGCCCATACTTTCTTTAAAGATTTGTTGTGTCGGCATTTTTGTATATGTTGTGTCGGTGTCCTACATCCATGTCCATTATACATAATGGGGCACCAAAACAAATTCACTGAACTTATATTATATGATGCAAAGACTAATGCAATAATACTCAAATTTAGAAGCCATCTACATCATTTCCCACTAAGGTAACACCATGTCTGTGGTTCCCAGACAAAACAAAGTTTAAGCATTGGATTACCATGTCGAATTGTCCCTATATGGCCTTCTATAAACTCATGTATATGATCAGCTATTTCTCAATTAAATGTGTAAACAAGAAATGCTTGAACCATAATGAATCTTCTGTATAAATTATTCAAAGAATATAGATTACAAAATCTCTTTCACAGAAACAAATTGCATCATGCATAAAAGAGACGCTGTGTAAGGGAACAAAAGAAATTACCATGAGCTACAATCAGTAAGTAAACTAGCCAAAAACACCAAAACTAGCAAGAAATAACTTACAGACATTTTTTCTTGTTCATACTCTCTGCCTCAATGAAGTAACCAGAAGCCCCATAAATTTCTTGCATCTGCAAATTTGTAAGTAGGTAGATATCAAGGATTTCACCAAATATTAATACAACAAAGTCTAAGGCTCTAAGCACGTTTTTCATGTATAAAAGATATTTCATATAAGATGTGTATTTACAAGGTGTGTGTGTGTGTGTGTGTGTGTGTGTGTGTGTGTGTGTGTGTGTGTGTGTGTGTGTGTGTGTGTGTGTGTGTGTGTGTGTGTGTGTGTGTGTGTGTGTGTGTGTGTGTGTGTGTGTGTGTGTGTGTGTGTGTGTGTGTGTGTGTGTGTGTGTGTGTGTGTGTGTGTGTGTGTGTGTGTGTGTGTGTGTGTGTGTGTGTGTGTGTGTGTGTGTGTGTGTGTGTGTGTGTGTGTGTGTGTGTGTGTGTGTGTGTGTGTGTGTGTGTGTGTGTGTGTGTGTGTGTGTGTGTGTGTGTGTGTGTGTGTGTGTGTGTGTGTGTGTGTGTGTGTGTGTGTGTGTGTGTGTGTGTGTGTGTGTGTGTGTGTGTGTGTGTGTGTGTGTGTGTGTGTGTGTGTGTGTGTGTGTGTGTGTGTGTGTGTGTGTGTGTGTGTGTGTGTGTGTGTGTGTGTGTGTGTGTGTGTGTGTGTGTGTGTGTGTGTGTGTGTGTGTGTGTGTGTGTGTGTGTGTGTGTGTGTGTGTGTGTGTGTGTGTGTGTGTGTGTGTGTGTGTGTGTGTGTGTGTGTGTGTGTGTGTGTGTGTGTGTGTGTGTGTGTGTGTGTGTGTGTGTGTGTGTGTGTGTGTGTGTGTGTGTGTGTGTGTGTGTGTGTGTGTGTGTGTGTGTGTGTGTGTGTGTGTGTGTGTGTGTGTGTGTGTGTGTGTGTGTGTGTGTGTGTGTGTGTGTGTGTGTGTGTGTGTGTGTGTGTGTGTGTGTGTGTGTGTGTGTGTGTGTGTGTGTGTGTGTGTGTGTGTGTGTGTGTGTGTGTGTGTGTGTGTGTGTGTGTGTGTGTGTGTGTGTGTGTGTGTGTGTGTGTGTGTGTGTGTGTGTGTGTGTGTGTGTGTGTGTGTGTGTGTGTGTGTGTGTGTGTGTGTGTGTGTGTGTGTGTGTGTGTGTGTGTGTGTGTGTGTGTGTGTGTGTGTGTGTGTGTGTGTGTGTGTGTGTGTGTGTGTGTGTGTGTGTGTGTGTGTGTGTGTGTGTGTGTGTGTGTGTGTGTGTGTGTGTGTGTGTGTGTGTGTGTGTGTGTGTGTGTGTGTGTGTGTGTGTGTGTGTGTGTGTGTGTGTGTGTGTGTGTGTGTGTGTGTGTGTGTGTGTGTGTGTGTGTGTGTGTGTGTGTGTGTGTGTGTGTGTGTGTGTGTGTGTGTGTGTGTGTGTGTGTGTGTGTGTGTGTGTGTGTGTGTGTGTGTGTGTGTGTGTGTGTGTGTGTGTGTGTGTGTGTGTGTGTGTGTGTGTGTGTGTGTGTGTGTGTGTGTGTGTGTGTGTGTGTGTGTGTGTGTGTGTGTGTGTGTGTGTGTGTGTGTGTGTGTGTGTGTGTGTGTGTGTGTGTGTGTGTGTGTGTGTGTGTGTGTGTGTGTGTGTGTGTGTGTGTGTGTGTGTGTGTGTGTGTGTGTGTGTGTGTGTGTGTGTGTGTGTGTGTGTGTGTGTGTGTGTGTGTGTGTGTGTGTGTGTGTGTGTGTGTGTGTGTGTGTGTGTGTGTGTGTGTGTGTGTGTGTGTGTGTGTGTGTGTGTGTGTGTGTGTGTGTGTGTGTGTGTGTGTGTGTGTGTGTGTGTGTGTGTGTGTGTGTGTGTGTGTGTGTGTGTGTGTGTGTGTGTGTGTGTGTGTGTGTGTGTGTGTGTGTGTGTGTGTGTGTGTGTGTGTGTGTGTGTGTGTGTGTGTGTGTGTGTGTGTGTGTGTGTGTGTGTGTGTGTGTGTGTGTGTGTGTGTGTGTGTGTGTGTGTGTGTGTGTGTGTGTGTGTGTGTGTGTGTGTGTGTGTGTGTGTGTGTGTGTGTGTGTGTGTGTGTGTGTGTGTGTGTGTGTGTGTGTGTGTGTGTGTGTGTGTGTGTGTGTGTGTGTGTGTGTGTGTGTGTGTGTGTGTGTGTGTGTGTGTGTGTGTGTGTGTGTGTGTGTGTGTGTGTGTGTGTGTGTGTGTGTGTGTGTGTGTGTGTGTGTGTGTGTGTGTGTGTGTGTGTGTGTGTGTGTGTGTGTGTGTGTGTGTGTGTGTGTGTGTGTGTGTGTGTGTGTGTGTGTGTGTGTGTGTGTGTGTGTGTGTGTGTGTGTGTGTGTGTGTGTGTGTGTGTGTGTGTGTGTGTGTGTGTGTGTGTGTGTGTGTGTGTGTGTGTGTGTGTGTGTGTGTGTGTGTGTGTGTGTGTGTGTGTGTGTGTGTGTGTGTGTGTGTGTGTGTGTGTGTGTGTGTGTGTGTGTGTGTGTGTGTGTGTGTGTGTGTGTGTGTGTGTGTGTGTGTGTGTGTGTGTGTGTGTGTGTGTGTGTGTGTGTGTGTGTGTGTGTGTGTGTGTGTGTGTGTGTGTGTGTGTGTGTGTGTGTGTGTGTGTGTGTGTGTGTGTGTGTGTGTGTGTGTGTGTGTGTGTGTGTGTGTGTGTGTGTGTGTGTGTGTGTGTGTGTGTGTGTGTGTGTGTGAGAGAGAGAGAGAGAGAGAGAGAGAGATAAAATAAATATATATAATCACATTTATTTAAAATGTTAAATAAATGTGTGATTAAAAAGATATTATCTCATTCATTAAATTAAGTGTGATTAAAAAATCATTTTAGTTTTTTTAATCACACTTTTAATAAAAGTGAAATATTTTTAATTCTTTTTATGTGATTTTTAATTACATATTAATTAGAAGGTGTGATTAAAAAATATATATATAATCACACTTAATTGAAAAGTGACATAAAAAATAAATATTATCACACTTAATCAAATCAAGTGTGATTAAAATATCAATCTAAATTTTTTTATCACACTTCTAATAAAAGTAAGATATTTTTATTTGTCAATGTGTGATTTTTAACTATTTTTATAGTTGTAAACCCAAACTAGCGGGGAATGTTGGCGCCAAAATTTAGGAATTTTGGTTTTAATGTTTTCCGTAGCTTTATCTTTTCAATTATAACAATAATAAAATCACATTTGAAAACTTAACTGATCTTTTACTGCATTTTTAAAAGGCTATTAAAATTGAAATGAATGCTATAAATAAATAAAAAAATTAAACTAGTTTGAACAATAAAAATCAAAAATATACTTTTAAAATTTTAAAAATTATTTATGACCTCCTAAAAGATAAATTATACAAAAATAATAAGTATTTTTTTTTATTTTTCACCAATTTGTTTTTTAGTTTTTTAGAAAAAAAAAATTCTGAAATAAGTTTATGAAAATAAAACCAAACATATTGAAATTGATAATTTAACTACATTCTTTGGAAAAGTTTAGATTATCTCAAATTAGTCATCTAAACTTAAGAGTGTGTTTGGGCTTGATAGGCTCATTTTGTGATCTAATTTGATGATCACTTTAATTTTACAATTCAATCATTAAAATATTTAAAATTTTTTGAAAAATTATAATAAAAATACAAATAATTAAAACACCTCATTTCACTACCAAAACTTTTACCGACGAATAGTATTATCGTCGCTAAATGTTTAACTCTTTATCCATGCCAACTTGTCGTCGCCAAAAGTAAGCACATTAATAGCGACGCTTATTGTGTTACTAAAAAATAAGTCTCGTAGCTAAAATTTATGAAATTTTGGCGCCAACCAATATTTTTGGCGCCTAGTCAATGTTATGCTTTTTTTAGTGACGATAGTAAATTGCATTGGTAAAGGTCTACTTTTCCCAACGAAATTTATCACTGTGTCGCCAAAAATATACTTTTGGCTACGAAAAATTGGCTTTGTCCCCAAAAGTAGTCGCCAAAAGTGTAATTTCTTGTAGTGTTTTGTAAATTTGAAGAGGTAGAAAGGCATGGTTTGGGAAGAGGGTTTGGGGGTTTTTTTTAGCTAAAATAGCCACAAAAAACAAGATAGATTTTTTAACCCAATAAGACAAAATATCACATCCAACCCATAATCATTATATTATTTCTCTTACAAAAAAACTAAAAAAATCAAAAATCCTTCCCAAAATAGGCTTTTTAGCCCCAGGCTAAAATAGCAAAAAAAGTCAAAAAGTCAAAAAGGCAACCCACTTCCCAAACCATGCCAAAGAGTATTTTCGTCATAAAAATGGACTTACTCTCTATAGATGCGCGTGACTTTTATATTATGTTATTTTAGACAAAAAAACTAACAGTGCGTTTTAGTCCATCAACTACAGGAGGGTTATGTAGTGATTTCCGAATGTCAGGGGGGCAAACTACACCCGGTCCAAACCAAAGGGGTTAAAGTGAAATTTGCCTAATATAAAAAGTATAAAATAGTCTAAAATAGTACACACCAAGTTGCTAAGGGTTCAAAAAATATTTACAACGTAAAATTATTCATAAAATACCTAAATATGATCATTAGAATTTAATATTCAAATATCCAAATAATAAGATTTATTAAAATATAAGAATATGATATGAGTTTAAAGTGAAAAAAATCCTTGAAAAATAATTTTTTAATAATTAATAATTAATTGAATACATAAAAAGATTTTTTTAAAATTATTGCCCCTTCTTGCGCCATCTGAGTCTGTCATGGGTGGTATTGAAAATGAAGGCCCCTTTGGTTTGAAATTCAAAAGGATTTTTGAGAACTCAAAATTAAAAGTTCAATTGTTTATCTCTATTACTAAATTTGTATTAATTGAACCCATTTCTATGTTGAAAGATGTGGTATATCATATTTACAAATTAATAAATTTTTTTTAGATGAAATTTTGTAAACAAGTTATTTACAAATTCATATAAAAATTTAAAATAAAATGAATTTGTATGTTGAATTAATAAAAAAATGTTTTTAAAAATAGTAAAAAAAATGTGTTCGACGTTTAAGCGTATTTAGATTGAGTGGATCTAAAAATTGAATTTTTTTTATATATATACGAGAGGGGAGATTTGCACCGGTCAGTACGGCCGAGCTACGGTAAAGCGGATATGGCAAGCCTCTCGGTGCCGAGCTATCTCCTCAATCGGCACGGCCCTCCGGTCTGTTTTACACGGTCGGGCTAGGTTTGCCGACCAGGCATGCTCTAAGGCCTGGCTGAGCTGTGGCTGTGAGGCGTTCGGCGGTAGGCGCGCGTTGGCACGACGCGACCGAGAAGATGACAGTCCGGAGAGAGTCTAGGCCGGGAAGAGGTCGGCGTGCGCCCGACCGGATAGCTCGGAAGCTCAGTCGTGTTCTTTGTGGTTGTGATTTTCTCCAAGGAATAGGCCGGTCTTGGTATGCCGGTCAGGTGTGTCACTTAAGCCAATGGCGTAAGGGAGAGGATATCTGCTCCAGGCACGCGTCAGTACCGTTTGGCAGTTTTGTATGTACTGGATGGAGGATTTGGCCTTTACACGTGTACGGTGGTGGGAGGCGAGCACAGCCAACTGTCTAGGGAAGGACAGCAGAGGTAGTGCACGCACAATCCTGAGGCTGCATGGCCAACCTAGAAAAAGAAATGGAAGATGAACGTTAAAGGTAAGCAACTTGCTCTATCTGAAACATTCTCTCTCTCTCTCGTCGGAGGGTCTATCCAGCACACCACCGCTGGACAGCTCACCATTCTCTGTGTTGTCAGGTTAGACGCCGTCACGTGAAGCTTGAACTCCAAGGAGTACGGAAAGCATAGGATATTTCGCCCCCGTACAATTGGCGCCGTCTGTGGGAAGTTCTTTGATACTCAAGCCTTGTTTTTCAAGCTTCTTCAACCATCTCCATGGCCAACAACGATGAAACTCCACTGTCCGTCGTCGATGGCATCACACCAGAGTCTGTCCGACGGAGAGAAGGCCCCCCGAATGTTCCAGCCATGGCGGGCCTAGAAACCTCTTCGCGAGGTGCGCGAGACAAACGTGGAAAGAGTACTGATCGCTCGAAGAGTCCAGAGGGCCGTCGACGGCGAGGGGAGTCCCGTGCGCAGCACCTAGAGCACAAACTAAAAGACCAAGATGCCCTCATTCGCAGGATGGCGGCAGAGATGGAGATGCTGAAACGTCAGATTAAGGGGAAGGGTGTTACTGGAGAGGGCAACCTCAATGAGCGCACCCCGTCCCCTCGTTCTAGCAGTCGCCGCCAGGAGAGGACCCACTCTCTCTCCATCACCAGGAACTATGGGGTTGGAGATTCCGACTGAAGGGAGGGCAGATCCCTCACTCGAGACAGCACATACCATCCCTCACGCCATTCTCCAACGTCACGATACTCTTTCTCCACCCGTTCCAGAGACCTGAGGGATGTATTGGAGGAGAGGGCGCGCCGTCGAGAGGCTCATAGAGTGCCGGCGTGGCAGAGATTGAGCACCCCCGTTCACTGTAGCGAAGAAGTGGCGATGCCAGCGCCCTAAAGTGATGGCCCATACGCCAGTGGACAAAGAGCTGGCGAGACTTACAGCCACGCCGTTGTCTCCGGAGATCGAGAGTACACTACTCCCTGCCAGATTCCACCAACCTAAGTTCACCTTGTACGACGGCAAAACGGATCCGTGCATGCACGTGAGTCATTACTGGCAAGTAATGGCTGGCCACCGGCGCAATGACGGCTTGATGTGCCTCATATTCCCAGCAAGGTTGGGAGAACTGGGCCTGAAGTGATTCGAAAGGCTTCTAGAAGGGAGTATAGAGGGGTGGCAGCAACTAGCAGAAGCCTTCGTCACCAGATTCAAAACCAACACTCGAACGCCAAAGGAGGTCGATCATCTTCTGGGCGTCAAGATAGAGTCAGAGGGATCATTGAAGGCATACAACGCGAAAATACTGGGAAACTTACAACGAAATCCTCGACTGCCCTACCAATCTGGCGATCACTCAATACAAGCGGGGTCTCCCAGTCGGGCATAGGCTGCGAGACTCGCTCACAATGCACCAACCCACAACCATGGAGTCCTTGATGCAGCGGATCAATGAGCACATTCGTATGGAGGATGATGCCGCCTCCGCGACCCAGAAGGTTAATCCGGTCGCAGTGGACAGAAGGGTAGCAGGGAAAGTTCACTCGGTCAGGCAGGAGGATAACCGCCCAAGTGACCGGCCAAAAGATCAACGACGCGGCCCAAACCGCGATGACAGAAACAAGGGTCGCAGAAACGACCGAGCTGACGCTCCCCGTGATGTAGCGGAGGATGCTAAGAGAAAATTAAAGGCGCGGACTGGAATCACCACGGTCTTTAAAATCCCTATCTACCGCATCTTGACTGAGATCAGAGGCGAGCCTTTTGTCCGCTGGCCGGCCAAGTTGGGGAATCCACAAAGAGGCTTCAACTCAAGGTATCGCTGCACCTTCCATGAGGAACGGGGACACCGAACGGAGGACTGCTTGCCGCTCAAACAACATTTGGAAGAGCTAGTGGCCGCGGGACATCTTGACCAATACATATATGGGGGTGTGAAAGCCACGCCATTGGGGCAAACCGAGCCAAATGGCCTAGCCGCCCTAGAGGCAGCACCCCAAGGCGTAATCAACGTCATCCATGGCATCGTTGAACCAACAAGGGTCTACGAGCTCAGAGGGATGATTAAGAAAGCCGAGCACATGAGGGAAGTGCTCTCCGTTCAACCCGCTGTAAAGAAAGGGAAGACCGAGGAGAAGGACATTCTTACCTTTTTGAGCAGGGACTTGGAGCGGATCCAGATGCCCCACAATGACGCCCTAGTAGTAACTCTTCGCGTCAAAGACTTTGGCATCAAGAGGATCTTGATCGACCAGGGAAGTTCAGTCGAAATTATGTACTATGATGCGTTCAAACAAATGAAGTTGGAGGACAAGGACTTGGCCCCTGCAACGTCCCCTTTGGTTGGCTTCAACTCTCAGCCAGAGTGGCCAGTAGGGAAGATCATACTGCTGGTCAAAGCGGGTTCAGTCACAAAGCAAGTAGAGTTCTGGGTGCTCAAAGTCCCATCCACCTACAACTTAATTTTAGGCAGGGGCTGGTTGAACGCCATGCAAGCAGTAGCGTCGACTTACCATCAGGTCTTGCGCTTCCCGGCACCAAACGGACAAATAGAGGAAGTTTGGGGAGACCAGGTGATGGCAAAACAATGCTTCGTTGCGGTAAATGGCAGCCGAGCCGCTAAAGGATTTGTCCAAATGATTGAGGGACCCGAGGGAAACGAGGTCCTTGAAGGCGTATGAAGAAAGGCCGAGGAAAAATTGGTCGAGGATTTGGTGGAAATGCGCATCGACGAGAATGACCCAACTAAGTTCTTCCTCTTGGGATCATCTTTGTCTAGCGTTGAGCGGTTGAATTATGTCAACTTCTTGGTTTCCAACATGGAGGCTTTTGCGTGGACGCCTTACGATATGCCAGGCGTCGACCCTAATTTCATTTGTCATCAGTTGAACGTCTTCCCGAATGTGCGGCCAGTCATTCAGAGGACTCGCCGCTCGGCTCTACACCATACCGAGGTAGTGGCAGAGGAGGTCAAAAATCTGCTGGAAGCAGGAGCGATAGAAGAAATGTAATACCCTCGTTGGATATCCAACACGGTGGTCGTCCCAAAAAAGAATGGCAAGTGGCGAGTCTGCGTTGACTACAAGACAGTTAACCGTGCATGCCCAAATGATAGCTTTCCTCTCCCTCGAATTGACCAGCTGGTGGACTTGACCGCTGGCCATCAGAGGTTTAGCTTCCTCGATGCATATCGCGGCTACCACCAGATAGCCATGTATGAACCGGACCAAGATATCACGTCGTTCACTACTCCTAGAGGCCTGTATTGTTATAAAGTCATGCCGTTCGGACTGAAGAACGCCGGGGCAACTTTTCAGAGGATGGTGACAAAGATGTTCGCTCCTCTTTTGGGCCGAACAATAGAGGCCTATATCGACGATATGGTGGTAAAGAGTAAGGAGAAGTCTCAACACCTCGCCGACCTAACAGAAATGTTTGCCATACTTAAGCGCCACAAACTTCGTTTGAATGCCTCCAAGTGCGCCTTCGGAGTCGGCACCGGGAAGTTTCTGGGGTTTTTGGTCACAAACCGAGGGATTGAAGCCGACCCATCACAGATCAAGGCTATACAAGAGCTGGAGCGCCCAAACTCCGCGAAGGACGTGCAATATCTTGCTGGAATGGCAGCCGCGCTGAACAGATTTATCAGCCGGTCTTCAGATCGTTGCAGGCCCTTCTTTAAAACTTTGAAGGCCAAGTTCTTTTGGGATGATGAATGTGACCGCGCACTGGCAGACTTAAAAATATACCTTTCCTCAGCCCCTATCTTAGTCACACCTCGGCCGGGCGAAAAGTTGTGTCTCTACTTGGCAGTCTCTCAACATACTGTGAGCGCCGTCCTAGTCCGCGCTGAAGGCATCCAGCACTTGCCCATCTTCTATGTAAGCAAAACTTTGCTCCCGGCCGAGACGAGGTATCTTCCGCTGGAAAAATTAGCGCTGGCCCTAATGATGACATCAAGAAAGCTGGCGCACTATTTTCATGCCTATACAATAGTTGTGTTAACCGAGTTCCCACTAAAGGTGCTTTTTGAAAAGGCAGACTTCACCGGAAGAATTTTGAAATGGGCCGTGGAATTGGGACAGTACGATATCAAGTTCCGCCCGCGCACCGCAATCAAGGCTCAAGATCTTGCAGACTTTGTGGCGGAATTCGCCCCTGGAACGCATCCAGTTTGCCCGGTTGATTTGGCTGGTGCGGATTTGGCGCAGCCCATGGTTCTGGCAATAGAAACGAGTGTTGGCTCAAAAGCGGGAGAAGGCCGAAAAGCGACCGATCTAGAGGAGCTGGGTAACTTCTTGGAAGACGTGCTCGATCAAGACAAGGAAAGAGACCAGAATGAACCGATCAGAGACTTGGAATTGAAAAGCTCCCAGAACCCCTCTGATTGCTGCAAGCTGTTTATTGGCGAGATGTGGAAGCTCTTCGTCAATGGGGCATCCAATAGGCATGGGGCCGGGCTGGGTATCGTACTGACTTCACCGGATGGACTGATTATCGAGTAGGCAATTACGCTCGGCTTCCCAGCATCCAACAATGAAACGGAGTATGAAGCCCTCCTTACTGGACTAAGAAGCGCATTGAGAATGAAGGCGTCAGCCCTAATGGTATTCAGTGATTCCAAGCTGGTGGCCAATCAGGTCTCGGGGGAGTATGAGACAAAGGACGAAATAATGGCCAAGTATCAGGCCCTGGTACGCGCAGAGATCAAGAAGTTCGCCGCAATAAGGATGGAACAAATCAACCGGGAGGAAAACAACGCGGCTGATGAATTGGCCAGACTTGCTTCTGCTCAGATAGCTTTTCCCAACCCCTTGATGATAGAATTTTTACCTCTGCCAAGCATTGAGGAACCGGAAATGACCGAGGTGCTCTGCGCCGACTTGGGTCCTTCCTGGATGGACCCCATCATCGTCTTACTGAAAGATAGAGTTCTACTAGAAGAGAAAAAGGCGACCAACAAGATCCGGGCCAAGTCAGAGCGGTTTTGGCTCTCCTCGTCCGGAGCCTTGTATAAGAAGTCTTTTACCGGGCCGTATCTGAAGTGCGTTCACCCCGCTAAGGTGGAAGCCTTCCTTTATGAGATCCATGAAGGCATCTGCGGCAACCATACTAGGGGTAGGTCATTGGCTTACAAAGCAATTTCCCAAGGTTATTGGTGGCCGTGCATGTAGGCAGACACACAGAAATACGTTCGCCGATGTGAAAAGTGCCAGAAATTTGCTCACCAGATCCACCAGCCAGCAAGAGAATTGCTCCCCCTTACAAGTCCTTGGCCGTTCGCACTCTAGGGATTGGATATAGTGGGGCCACTCCCAGCAGCCCCGGACAATCGCAAATTCTTCATCGCCGCCACCGACTACTTCACAAAGTGGGTTGAGGCTGAGCCACTGGCGACCATAAAGGAAAAGGATGTGAAGAAGTTTGTCTGGCAAAATGTTATCACTCGCTTCGGTATACCCAAGGCCCTCATCTCAGATAATGGCACTCAGTTCGATAGGAAACTCTTTCGTGGATTTTGCGAAGAGCTGAAGATCGAATTTTACAATTCAACGCCGACCTATCCTTAGTCAAATGATTAAGCAGAGGCCTCAAACAAGACCATCCTGGACGGGCTGAAAAAGCAGCTTGAGAAGGCCAAGGGAAAGTGGGCTGAAGAACTTCCTAGCGTACTCTAGGCGTACCGCACTACGCCAAGACGGTCGACTGGAGAGACTCCGTTTGCCTTGGCCTATGGCATGGAAGCCGTTATCCCGCTGGAAATTGGCATGCCAACCATCCGGTCTGAAAGCTTCCAGCCATATTTGAACAATGAAGCAGTGGCATTGGAGCTAGACCTTGCCGAGGAAATGAGGGAGCGGGCCCTAATCCATATAGCGGCCTATCAGCAAGAACTCTCCAAGAAATATAACAAGGCTGTGCACCCCAGGCTATTCAAGATCAGGGACTGGGTCTTAGAAAAGTGCTGGGCAACACGGTGGTCCCTGGCGAAGGAAAGCTCGGTGCAAATTGGGAAGGACCATACAAGGTGACTGGTCTCGCTGGCAAAGGGGCATACCATCTGGAAGATTTAGATGGCAAAGCTGTCCCCAGACCGTGGAATGCAGCCAACCTTAAGATCTTTTACTTTTAAAATGTAATTGCTTAGCTTTTTAGACCTTTAGCCTTTTGGCATTTGATGTAAAGATAGCACTGCTTTTTGTAATGAAAATAGCCCTCTTGTTGTTTTGTATCGCATCTTTCCATACAATGACACTGCAAGGATACAAGGCCACTGCGGATGCCAGGGGCAAAGGGACCGACCTGAATGGGACCGGACTAATCTTCTCTCGCCGGTATAGAAGCAGACCGCACCAACAGTGGTGTATTATTGTCCAACGAAATGATTAGTGTATGGAACAATTCACATAAGGGCCGAGCTGGTTTTTTGCTCGCCCAATTGGGATGTTGGCGTCACGACTGACCTAAATGAAATATTGGTGTTTTGCCCAATGTTAAGGCCGAGCTAATTTTGCTCGGCCAAAATGAAATGTTGGTGTTGTCCAGCAAATAATAGCCGAGCTAACTTTGCTCGGCCAAGCGCTATATTGGTGCCTTGTCCAACTTACAAGAGGCCGAGCTGACTTCGCTCGGAGAAAGGAAATGTCAGCGTTCTATCCAACTCCATGTCGGAATATTGGTGTTTTGTCCAATTTAATGGCCGAGCTGGTTTTGCTCGGCCGAAGCGAAATAACTGATATTTGTCCAGCTTCCTTTAGGGCCGAGCTGATTTTTGCCCGCTCAAATAAAAGGCTTGAAGTGTTGTCAAAGCCAGAACGGCAGTGGTAATTTTTGCTCGGCCGAATGAAAATTTTTGGGTTCGTTCAAAAAAAAAAAAAAAAAACCGAGCTGAGAGTAGCCGCGAACATTTAAATTGAAGAAATTCTGAGCGGCCAGCCGGCCTATCAGTTGTGGTATATTAAAGTTTGAATCAGGACATTTTGCACGTTGCAACCGAACAAAAAGAGAAGATCAGCGGGCAAAAAGTTGAAATTTCATTGATTGAGAAAATTGCATTACAATTGTGGGGCCCTAGCCCGGTTACATTAAACAAAGAAAGAAAAGAGACGAAAATAAAACAGGAAATAGGAGGGGGCATTTCAGTCCAATTCCAGGTCAACCGTCTGCTCGGCGACCTCCAGAGTCTGCTCGGCAACCTCCACACTGTGCTCGGGCAAGCCTTCTTCCAACTCATCATCCGCGTCCTCCATCGCGACGACCTCCCGATCGGCTACTTGATCTTCGGCATCCTGAGATGCTTCAGGAGAAGTTTGCTCGGTTTGTTGCGCGGCGGCGGCTTCTTCCGCGGCTTCCTTTTGGGCCTCCTCTATGAGCCTCTTCTGCGCAGCGCTCGCATAGACCTGCATATAGTGCGGTATGAAGGCCGCAGGCGGATGTAGGAACTTGTCAGCATCCTGACCAAGACCAACTTTCTCCACGGCAGCTTTCCAACCACACTGGAAAAAGATGTCCTTGGTCACCTGCACCTGTCGTTCATACGTTTTTTCGCCTTGAGCATAGCCCCTATCTTCGCCGTCGCTAACCGCCTTATCTCTTCTCCTCTTTATGGACATCGCACAACTTCCTCAGCTCAGCGAGATACCGGGCTTTGGTCGACTTCACGGCCCGCTGTTTGTCCGCT